CTTTGTAACTTCGTGTCCCCTCTTGTTCGTGCATCTAGGGGTGAGCATGGTCCGGTTGTGCCGGTCCACCCCCTAACCCTAGGACCAACCCGCACAGTGTTGGTCCTCAATTTTTGGGACCGAGGACCGACCCAATTGAGCCTGGGACCGAGGACCGGACCGACCCAATGGGTTCGGTCAGGTTCCAGGGTCAATTCGGGACCAACCGATAATTTTTTTGTTTCATTTTTTGTACTCCTTGAAAAAGCAAACCTACTATTTCAAATTACATATCCATCGACAATGCGGCATTGTACAACCAAAATATAAATACCAGTACATATTTAACAAATTTAAGATAAAGGCAACAATAGAAATTTCACATATACTAAAAGCAAGAAACCATAAAAACGATTAAGACCGCTCATAGAAATATGGGACAAGATGGGAAGTCCATGTAATCATCCGTCAATAATACTCGTAACACCATATGCAAAAACGTTTTCCTGCATTCGATCAAGGAGAGTCCAATCAACCAAAAAATGAACTTCACACCACTTGACTAGCAAATCATCGTAGCAACTGCAATTCTACTCTTCAAAAACTTCTACCATTTAACACAAACTGAAAAGCAAAGTGCAGCTGAAACTTACTAGTGAAATACAATTAAACCATAAGAAATTCAAAACACTTAATATAAACCATGAATACACAACTTCTCTTCTTGTTAATTCACTTCAACTTCTGAACACCTGGAAACAAAACAAACGACTCGCATAATTAATACTTGACAAAAGTTTTAAATTGAAATTACTATTAGTGCTATTGATAGAACATCTCACCATTATATCCATTCAACTTCAATGTGCAAGCTCTATTTATTGATGGTAATCTCCTCGGTAAGACAATCCATATCTAAAAAAAAGAATTTGTTCATTAGATATACAAAAGAATTAACAAGTAAAAAGAAATATGCATAATTTAAGCTTACCTAATTCAAACTTTTCAGCATTTTCAATGCACTCTTCAACATTAATAGGCATGCGAGCAGCTCTCAACCAGTCTCGAGTACAAATTAAAGCTTCCACCACTCTGGGAGTCAAAGAACTTTGAAAACCATCAAGCACACGGCCCGAAATACTAAAAGCTGACTTTGAAGCAACGGTAGTAATAGGAATAGACAAAACATCCGAGCTATTAAAGATAAGATTTTATATTTCGAACCAGTACTCTTCCACCACATCAAAATGTCAAGATCAAGAATATCTTTAGATTCCTCTTCAAGATACCATTCAAGCTCCGATTTGTTGTCATCACGCCCCCTTTTTTTTTATGGAAAAAGTTTTTCCGCCAAACTTTGATGTTAACCTCATCGCTCCCATCATTTCCATCGGTATTGGAAGCACTGCTACTACTAATAGTCATATTTTGACCACCCAAATATCGATGACCATGACCAAGAAAAAATTGCTCATAAAATGCATACAAACGCTCCAACACGTAATTTACCTATTAATACATCTCATCAATTTTTGCTTCATTATCATAAATTTACTCATAACAATACTTCACATAATGCAACTTTTTTGTAGGATCTAATGCCACCGCAACCAAAACTATCATGTTTACTTTATCCAAACTCCCATAGTATTTATCAAACTTATCCTTCATCTTCATACCCATAGCTCTAAGCTTAGGATCCAAAGCATTATTCGCATCTTTCAAATATTTATACAAAAAGCTATCCCCTCAAAATAATCATTCGAAGTAGTATATAAACTCCCTAACATTTGATTGGTAGCATCATAAAACTGTTTCAGAAATTTGGAAAGAACAATGGCATTTTCCCAATCTTCATTTTTAGGAGAATCATTGTTAAACTCAGTTTCGAAAGACAAATTATCTTCTACCATCATTTCAAAAGCTTTTCTGAACTTTATGGCCGTGTCTAATATGAGATAAGTGGAGTTCTATCTAGTGGCAACATCTAGACAAACCGAACCCCTTGTAAGTGATTCTTTTAGCCTCAATGCAAGATTGGAATACTTTAGCTCTCATGGGAGAACTCCTCACATATCTAACAATGTTTCGGATACATGCAATAGAATCACGTACCTCAAACAAGCCATCTTTTACAATCAAGTTCAATATATGAGCAGTGCACCTCATGTATAAAGCCTCACCAGCTAAGACCAATGACCCATCTCTTGAAAATTTATCCTTCAAATAATCAATGGCAACATCATTCACACTAGCATTATCCACTGTGATTGTAGACACGTTTTTTTTCTATTCCCCATTCATATATGCATTTTTCAACTATTTTCTCAATCTCCCTACCCTTGTGACTATGTATCACCACAAAATTGATGATCCTTTTATGCAATTTCCAGTCTTCATCAATAAAATGTGCACTAAGACATAAATAGTTCAGATTTTGAATGGAAGTCCATGTATCGGTCGTCAGTGCAATCCTTGACCTGAGCTTACCAAAGAAAGTCTTCAAACAACTTCTTTCACTCATATACAACTTCATGCAATCCCTAGCCACTGTAAATCGTGACAAATGTGTGAAGAGAGGTTGTATCTTAGTAACAAAATCACGAAACCCAACACGCTCAACCATAGAAAATGGTTGTTCATCGACGATGATCATTCGAGCAAGCATGTACCTAGATCGGTCTTGATCAAATTTCCATGTCGTTAAGACATTACCACTATCGATACCAACACCGGTATCTCCCCCTAACTTGGCAAGCACATTTGCATCACATGGTGCAAACAATTTTTGCCTCTTATCTATATTGGGAGGATACTTGTTGCACCTTTTCAAGTGCTTCAACATTGTTGAAGTACCATTATTAACAGTGTATGAGTACTCCTTCCCACAATGAATGCACTTAACCAAACATGTTTTTGGGGTCTTCTTATCTATGACTCTCGAAAAATTATCCCACACAATAAATTTTGATTTATCTGTTTTTCGCTTCTTACAAAGAGGAGGATGATTAGTGGATACCTTGGTTGACTCTTTTAAGTCTTCTTCACATCCATGGCTAGGTGATTCTATCATGGGATTGATCTCGTGACATCCCTCCACTTCAAATGACATATTATCTAAATTCATCAAGTTCACCTGAATATTTAAGTACCGGCGTGTAAGCTTCAGCACTGCACTCACTGACAAAACAACAAATATCAGCTACGGTTTCATTTTTGAGGTGGCAACATCAAATAGCTATTCATCAAACTATATGCAGCAAACAATAGAATAAGGACAAAATGGTAAAAATTCACAAGTGCATCCTATGCAATTCTAATCACGATGACAAATGCATCATAAAATAGTTAAGTCATGTCAATTTAGAGCCAATCGCATTCGCCTCTCGTCAAATTTGGGTGTATCTCTTTTGTAAAATTTCTGTCCTATTATAAAGAACGTCATGAGGTTGGCCACAATTCAAAGCTGCTTAGCAACTTCGTTGCCCCACCATATCCTATTCAGCTGCCCAATCAGCCTAATCTCTGGCTAAGGTGAAAGGAAATCATTAGATGTACAAACAGACAAAATTTGGCCATGGATAAGTTGGTGAAGGGGAACGGAAATCTCAACTAAATCAACCAATTTAGCAACTATACAAGTTTGAAAATCAGACAAAGTCAGAAAGTTGGTGAAGCAGCTAAGTTGGCAGCCTTGGTGTGTGGGAAAGAACCGACCAAAATCTAGATTAATTCAGTAGACAAGCACAATAAAGCACTCTTTTGAAGCATACAACTTTGGAGACAAGATGCACTTGAGAGAGTTCTCAATGACCCCAACAATCAACTAAAAAAAAACCAGCTTCAACCCATAAACTCCATACTCACCCTTTTGAGAGAAAATGAATTTTTCACAAATTTCCAGCGAAAAATAGCCAAAACCTTCAACTAGAGAGTGGAAGTACGCGACGATCTTTCCAACCATAGATCGCGCGTCCCAAACGATCGGGAAGGCACCCAAAATCCCCCCCCCCCCCAAGGGTACCCTCTTGGTGAGCAAAGGTAAAAACCTGAGAAGTGTTGGAGGTTTGGTCGCGAGCCGGGAAAAGAGTGAGATTTTGAAAGAAATGAGAAAATTTTGAACCAAGAAACTCACTGGGGGTCAAAGTAGGCATGTTCTAGCTCAAAAAAAGCTTTGCATTGTCCGTTAATCAGCTCTTCGTTCTAGTTAAGGTGAGAAGAGTGCACCAGAGTAGGCCCACAAACCCAGCTCTAGATACGTGAAGTAAAAGTGGAAAAATAATAATCCAACATAAATCAAGAACATACATGGGTTTGGAAAGCAAGGCGAAGAAAGGCGAGCGACAAGCGGCGAGTGAGGCGAGCGGTGAGCGAGGCGAGCGAGGTGAGCGGCCAGAGGCGAGCACCGAACGGGGCGCGAGCGGCGCAAGCTTCGAGCGACCAGAGGCGAGCGCCGAACGGGGCGAGTGGGAAGTTTTTTTCTTCAATTTTGGCAAAGTGAAGAGTCTGAAGACTAAAGAGAGACTGTACAAGGAAGACTAAAGAGAAGAAGTTGTCAGTATTAGAGGAGGACTGAGGACGCCGTGAGTAATGCTGTTTTGGACGCGTGAAAAAAGACTGAAGAGAGACTGTACAGGGAAGACTAAAGAGAAGAAGTTGTCAAGTACCGGAGGATGACGCCGTGAGTAACGCCGTTTTGGACGCGTAAGAGCTGTTTCCCGCTTTTTCTTTTTTGGTCAGTTTTTCACGCCATTTCACAGTTTCACTTGGGTTCTCTACATAAAAAAAATTATAAATAATATATTAAATATATAATATATAATATATATTTTAGATATATTATATATAATATATATAGTTCGGGTTGATCTGGATTGGACCGATCCTAAATTACCTGGATCGAGGACCAATCCACACAATGCTGATCCAGAGATCCCAGATCAAGGACCGATCCAGTCTCCCTATAAATCGGAGTTGGGCCGGGCCAGGGTTGACTCTGGACCGATGCTCACCCCTACGTGCATCACAAGATACTCTCTCTCTCTCTCTACAGTTCCTTCATCCTCACCTCCACTCCTTGTATCCGGTTCTCTCTCCCCGCTGAATCCTTCGATTGCTTCTTCTTCTTCTTCCTTGATCCCTGCGACCTCGCTGCCGTCGCGCTCGACGAGCTCGCTCGTGCCGGCTTCGCTCTCTCGCCGCCTCGAAATCCGGAGGTCTCATGGTCTTCTGGCTCGTTCCGGGCTGATCCTGCTCGGGGTTTCTGGGCTTCGTTTTCGTTCGCGTCGAGGACGGAGGGTTCGCGATTGCTTCCGTCCACATGATTCCCTGGGGTGGTCTGAGCTGTTGCCTGAGCGCGGCGGCTCTGTACGTTCTCGGCAGAAGCAGTGGAAGGTAATGTGTACTTCCAGTGCGCTGCCGAATCACCTCGGATAAAGTAGAGTTTTTTTTTAGCAATCTGTTTGAGTTTTATGGATGTCGTGCTGAGCTAAGTTCTGGGAGTCTGATAAAGAGAAGGTTCTGTGACTGCTTGTCGATGTGCTGTTGAGGGTTTTCATTGGGTTGGTTAAAGTTTGGATTTTGAATCTTGTCGCAGGGATGCGGAGGCTTTAAAGTGTGTTCTTCGGGTGAACCAATTGAAGGAATTAGGTGAGCGCACGTTCAAGGTCTTGGAGAATGAGCTCTGTCTCTTCCTCCTTGCTCTTATTGCCTCTCCTGCACCGAGTGGTTTATGACACCTCGTGAATTTGATGGGCATTTCGGCTTCATTTTCCAGCATTCTTGCCGCGGTGCTCCAACGAAGTAATTTGGAAATTTTATGACTGCAGCATTTTGGAAATGGCTATCTCTTTTGTTAAATTTCTGCGAGTATTTGAGGCCTAAAGGAGTGGTGAACCTAGAAAGTTCGGTTTGGGGTGATATCAATAAATTTTGCATTTACCTGACACGGGACTTGGGGCAACGCATAAAAAGTATGAATTTGTATATCTTGCACAATTGGCCACCTCGGGTGTGGGGGGGGGGGGGGGGGTGTGGTTGGAGGGCCCTGTTAAGCCCTCAGTCAGTCAGTCAGTCAGTCATGACTGGAAGGGAGGAGGGAAACTTCCATCATCCAGCCTACATGCTTTTGAAATACTATGTCATTTTCTAGTAGCTGCTGTTGTAGTCATTGGAGTACTCTGAACATATTTTGGATCAAGAAATCAGGAAACAAGCTCTGAGAATTCAACATACCTCATTTTCCATATTTACTTTTCTCTAGTTGTGGCGTTGTGTACTTTCTCTGTCATATGGTTATATTCCTGTCATGAAGTGAAAGAGCAGTGACTTCTGAGTGCAATTCCATTCTGCTTACCTGCACAAGTGTGTATAATAGCTGAAATGACTTGGTTCCTGTTTACTTAAACTTATCTGAAAAATGGTTTTTACATTCCCCTTGCCTGGAACAGCACAGCTTTTGGATACGGAATGTAAGGTGTTACCTTTGGTTGTTACACTTTCTGGAAGAGTTGGCTCTGACATGCCAATTAATTGTGAGTATAGTGGTCTACGAGGTGTGATAGTGGAGGAGACGGTAATGAGCTTTCACTTGATTGTAATACTTACTTATTTGGTCATTTGTTATACTCTTTCCTATGTGATACTTATGTTGTTGACTTGTTCTCAGGCAGAGCAACACTTTCTGAAGCACAATGATGCTGGTTCTTGGATTCAAGACTCTGCGTTGATGCTATCTATGAGTAAAGAAGTTCCCTGGTTCCTGGTGAGGAATGGCTGATGTCTCATGCTTTTCTTAACTTTCTTGTTCACTTTTATTTGGTGGTCCAAGTAAGTTTGCTTAATACTGATTGCATAGCTGACTAGTTGCGAGCTTGTCTTGTCTAGAAAGATTGGAGTCTTTCTCTTCTACTTTTTGAGAACATCTTGCTTTCTGTTCTATGTCCAAATGATGATCTAAAAATAGGCCTTGATTATGTCTTATTCATATGCGTAGGATGATGGTACTAGCCGTGTGCATGTAGTGGGGGCCCGAGGAGCCTCAGGTTTTGAACTAAACATTGCAAGTGAAGTGTTTGAAGAGTCCGGAAGATCTCTTGTACGAGGAACATTAGATTATCTTCAGGGTCTCAAGGTTTGTCTGTCTCATGGCTTCCTGTTTAGCCAAGACTTTGTTGATGGACCATAAGCCAAGCTTATTCAGGATTCACTTGATTCTTTTTCCATCTATTCATCTTCTGTTTTTATTCCAGATGCTTGGGGTCAAGAGGATTGAGCGCGTTCTACCTGTTGGTTCCTCCTTGACTGTTGTTGGTGAGGTAGGTTTTCTGCCATCTTGTGTAGTTTAATGAGCTCATGCTGTTATATGCTTAAAGATGAAACATTGGTAACTTAGCAGCTACTTGTTTGATAATGATGGATTGACCAACATGTTGTCATTTGATAAGCAGTTTTATTGGGCATTTCAAGTAGTACTTGGTGTCGTTTCTAATGACATGAGTATTGATGTGAAATATTGGATGTGATTGAGTATCAATCAAGCGACTGAAAACAGTGTTGTGAAGGACCGTATTGTTTGTAACTTCAATGCTTTAGGATGAACTGCAGTTCAATGGTTCTGCTGCTGAATAAGATTGGGTCAATGTTAGGTTGCCAATTTGTAACCTGGATGCTGTGTGATAACTGGTAGCTGCTGCTGAATACGAATTCATAATGTTAACACAAACGATAAAAAAAATCTTGTTAAGCCTGTGATGTAGTAAAACCAACTTGTATACTCAGAAGTATTTAAACTGTGAGTTAGTAACTAACATTATGCTAGTATGCTCTTCACTGTATTGTTCAGTTGATAATGCTGATTTTGCCTCCCATGAAAAAGACATCAATTTCTCGGACTTCAGGGCACATGATTTTATGAGCATTGTATAGAGCCAGCTGCAAATTTATGCTAAATTTGATTTATTGAACTTGTTTAAGTTGGTAGTTAGAGCCTATGGTGGTCTGTATAATGCGCTCCATTAACCTCACCAAGAAAACCTTTTTACAAAATGAATATGATGGGAGTAAGGGTCACTGATTGTGTAGATTTGTTTCTACTACAAAAAAAGTATCCCCCATAAATCTTACATTTATTATGCTCTTGAGCTGATTTCTGACCGAGTCTGACTAATCACAATTTCATACTAAGTTAAATCATCAAATTTGTGTAGTTGGCAGCTTTGAGAGAATTAATGTACATCCTCCTGTCTCCTCCTTAAAAAGGAATGTTACTGTCAATTGATTGTACCATCATTAGGATAAAAATAGCCACTTATTAGGAAAATCAGCAGTTTATTGAAATATGACGCATGTAGATCTTCGTGAGGATTTGTGTTACTTAGCTAATAACCAGCCAGTGGCTTTTCTCTAAATTAATCGCTAATGAGCAATGCAGTAAAGTTAACTTACATTTTAAGCCCCTCCAATGGGCAGGCTTGAACTCAATAGCTAAAGCCAATAACTGAGAAAGCACAAACTAATGGAGCAACTGAGAAATTACTAACACACTCTAGAAAAATGTCACTTCTGTCTGTGTGTGAGCATTTTAAGCGTCTGAAGAATCAAGTCACTGCATCAGGTGTAGTCATCATGTATAGTATGGCGACACTTTTATGAGTTTAGGTTGTCTTAAGTGAGATGTTTGAATTGTTGCTCCTGAATGCTTCAAATTTTAAATCCAGTACTTCAAGTTCTATACTTATATACCTATCAAACAACAAAAAGTCGTCCCCTATATATATTGATGAACTGGGGCAGATTCATTAAGAGTACCAGGGGGTGCTACCTGTACATGTGCAAACAATTTCGGAGTATAGGATTCAAATTGTCTACTTTGTCAAGGCATTTCTCACTCCAACTCCATTTGGTATTGTTTCTTCTATGAATTGACCATGTTTGCTTCTTTGCTTGAAGTCAGGCCGTCAAAGATGATATTGGGACGGTGCGGATCCAGAGACCACACAAGGGGCCCTTTTATGTATCTCCTAAAACTATTGACCAGCTCATTTCAAATCTTGGCAAATGGGCTAGGTAATTATACTAGTGAACAACTGTGGCCTCAATAATTTCTCTCTTTCTTTCTTATGCAAGCTAACTAGAAGTTTGAACAGGTGGTATAGGTATGCTTCCTTTGGGTTTACAGTATTCGGCATTTGTTTGATTGCAAAACGAGCTATCCAATACATCATGGAGAGAAAGCGACGCTGGGAATTGCAGCGAAGGTATATTTAGTGAAGCTTGTATTTTAAGAAATGGAAAGCATTGATTTGTCAAAATTATCATTCATTGGTGCTTCTTCATTTGTCTAAACTTGCTCTGAAGTATTTGATGGACTGGACATATCATGGATCTGCCATACTCATACAGATAATAACTGTTAGCCTTAAGTTCTGTGCGAGTGACTAAGATTGGATGGCTATTTTTTGCATCTCACAAAATCCTAGGCCAATCTTAGCCTTCTTATGTCTTTTTATTTTGTTCAACACTGGACTTTTGGGTGGAGATATATTTAGCTATTTCCTTCTCTTTGCACTTTCCATTCTATTAGTTAACATCAAAGTTTTATCTGATGACTGGTCTTTGTTGCTTCCTCTTCTTCTCAACTTATGTTATTCTTGGCTACATGGATTTTGTTGAACTATATTTATGGATATTTGTCAGGAGTTACTAGGTGGTCATGAATACGGAAATTAGGATTTTGTTAGCAACTCTTGTGCTCTATAAATCGAGCTATATTATGTACCCTTTCGTCAATCTATTTTGTAAAGATGTACCCTGTGAATTTCTCTCGCTCTCTCTTGAAGATCCTAAAATATTTCTATGGTATTAGAGTCACCAAGAGAGAGGGACCCAAATCATGACCCTAGTATGCCAAAACACAACTGTTTTTTCTTGCTGTTAGTCATAAGAAAAGAAGAAGGGTTTTTGTCTTCTCCATTAAGCCAACTATCATGTCCTTTTGTTGCAAGCTCTACTCAGTCGTTCGCTGTTACTTTTTTCGAGCCTGTCTTCGGTAACACATCAAAATCTTCTTCTCTGGCAAGGACTCAAGCTTTGTCCCTTGCTGTCTTCTCTCCTTTTCGATTTCTTCCCGTCATCAGGAGGAGCTCCTTGCGAACCCAGGTCATCCAGATCTGGAGAGTCATGCGTTCTGCTATGCTCATCGCCACCATTCGCTACTGGATGACCTTCCTCTGTCAGTTACGATTTCTCTCTTGTGGGCCATTGTTCTTCTTCATCTCGGTCAGCCTTCCGTCATCATCATCGCAAGCAGTCCTTCTGGTCATGAGCTCATCCTCCACATTTGTCTCTGACGAGCACATCCCATTCATTTCAGTGTTTGTCATCATTTGTCTTTAGCAAAATGTCCCAGTTTTGGTCCTTTAAAACCTTAACAACATCTACTGTGAATGTCTTCCTTTGTGAGACTCATCTTCGATTGTGAGCATCCTTGCCTAGCAAAATCGCTGTCAAGTTTTTGGGTGTCTGTGAGCGTTGGAGTCAAACACACCTTTATTAAGCAACCAGAGTGGAGCACCGTGGGGTGATGCAGTACAGTTTGCTGCAATGATAAAGTCATGTTCTCACACAATCTTATCTTCGTTGTTTGAGGAAGCAGAAGGTGTCTTTGTTTCTTCAACGCTTCTGTCGAATATGACGTTGCTTACATTCATTTTGTCAGCTTACACACTTGTTTTTGTCTTAAATCCGGTCGTGGATGACAGGACCTTTATGTTTAATATGAAATCAAGAAGTTATCGTTCAAGACAATTGCTAGAAGTTTTGACATTTATTCCTCACACCGATTGATTTTCAAATATTCTACCTTTTTTTTTTATCTAGCTCAAATTGCTATCTTTGCTGGGTGGTCTCTGGTTTGTTGTCAAATGGCTCTTCTACTTATTCTGAATGTCTCTCCTCTTATTTATTTTCTTGATTTATTTCCTAGTTTTACATGAGATTTTTTGTTTTCTTTTCCATTGGTAACCAATCAGATGATTTTCCTTCTGGAGACTGATTGATTATCAGTAGCATATCTCGGTTATTGTTCTCTCTTTCTGCATAATGTTGATTAAGTCTTCTCCATGCAGGGTTCTTGCAGCTGCTGCTAGGAGAGCAGGACAAGATACTGACGGTAACTTGTGTTACATAATTGTTACTTAAAACAATGATCTATTCGCATAGTGATGGTTATGATTTTTTCTCAGGTACAGATGAAAAGACCAAAAGTGCACCAGACAATGCTAAGAGAGACCGTTCAATGCCAGATCTCTGTGTCATATGCCTTGAGCAGGAGTACAATTCCGTCTTTGTCCCGTAAGCAATCTTTTCTTTATTAGTTAGAATGTTATTGGAGTTTGCTGTAGATGGTGCATTTGCATCTTTTCTTGCTATTGGAATGACCCTACATACCATTACCAACCAGATGGTTCCACTCTTCCATGGCCACTGCGAGCCTCGGGGGGTCTAGGTGGCTGTGCTCCGTGAAGAGGAGGAAAAGCTTTGATTTGATTTTCATTGTCCTGGAAAAAGTTTTATTGGTTAATTTCCATGTGCAGGTTTTGCAGTGCACAATATTAATTAGATAGCATGTACATAACTGTGTACTCTTGTAACAATTATAGTAGCTTTGTAATACACCGATGCTCCAGCTTTATTCTGCCAACTTTTGTGTTTTAAGTTTTGGCCTCTGATGTTTTCTGGGGTCCTAATTGGCAATATGCTATGGGCAATTGCTCCATTATACTCAACATTATAAATCTCTGTCGGAGGTATCTATAAAAAATATAAAAAGAAATAAATCCCTGTCGGAGGCATTTAACTTTTTTCCATGACCTAAAAAACAAGCATCTCTCCCGTAGCGCATGTTGGAGTAGAATTGACCCTTCTGAGATGTTTCGTCTTTGCTTCTTCTGGTTGACTTCTTAACTTGTACTTAGCATGCTACATGCATTTCTTCAACAGGTGTGGGCATATGTGTTGCTGTACAACATGCTCATCGCACTTGACAAATTGTCCACTTTGTCGGCGGCGGATTGAGCAAGCTGTGAAAACCTTCCGCCATTGAAATAATTGTATTGCAGTTTGGATCTCATAAACTCGGATGTAATCAAGGTTCAGAAGGCTAAATTCCGTTCTGGCCGCATCGCTTCTCATCTTGCCATGTAAAAATTTTCATACTACAGAATTCTTGCATTATGCTGGTGGTTAAAAGGCCAGCTTCTTGGATGTCACAGCGACTCCCACATTATGTCTCTCAACAAGAAATCTATTGGTAACCTCCGCTATTGTAAGTAAGTCCGAGGTTAGTTGTTGCTTGTCTTTGTATATTTGATGCAGTCACCAGCAGCAATTGTGCGGGTCTCTGTTGCTTCTACCATTTTGGGACTATCTGTTCCATCCTCTACAATTTGCTTATCCCGACAATTTTATCATATTGGTGGCTGTTCATGGGCTGTAACTTATTAACATGGCCTTATTATTAGACATTGTCAGCAGTGAACTTGAATACATTCCTGATGTAAGAGTTGCACCTGCAAAATGTTGCTTTTGCGAGGGTGAACTTGAAGCTACTCAGCCATTTAATCCACTGATTCTGAGTTTGATGCCTCTGGTACAGTCGGAATAAATAGACAATTTATTCGTTAGATTGACGATGCGTCTGGTGCCAACTCAGAATCTCATTTTTGCTTGTCATCGTTATCGGAATCGCTTTTTGACTCCTTTCATCTGTGCACGGTTTCTAGTAGGTTGCTGTGACCAAAGCGGTAGCAACAGGTCCGCCAATCCCAAGTTTGCTGTGTTAGAATGCTTTTGTTAGATTCCCCTTCTAGTTTTCCTGGATAGCTAATGGGCAAATAAAGTGGGAATTTGATCCTAAACCGTCAAATCACTGTGAAATACGGGAAAAGCCAGCTCTCTTGCTGATATTCTTGTGTTTAATTCTCGTTTTGATCATCTTGTTGATCTTTCACGCAACCAAGTGCTGTCTGCATCATCACACTCTATGTTCCTTTCTCATTAAGGTGGTTTAATCTTTAGGCCTTATTTTTCCTCAGATGACTCGGGTATATAACACGCCTGAACAAGCACTTGGAATGTAGAGCTCTCCGGCCCTCCCCGTCTTCTGTTCACATATCACACACTCGGCCTTCTTCATTCCCTTCAAACGCCTATAGATGGAAAGGAACCACTCCTACTCAACCTCCCATCTCCAAGACATTCGTCGTGCCCCGATGTACCCGCTATCTGTTGCCGCTCCCGAAGCGGTTGCCATCGAGTTTGTGTATGCGAATCCGCCGAATCCAGCGAACAATAAAGAAGCATCGTCTGGCGTCGAGGTGCCTATTCACAAGAACAATCAGGTGGGAATGATGCCCACCATGGTCGAGCCTGCGAGGCAATCGTCTCCTGAAATGACCAAGACCAAGGCAAAGTCCAACTCGGTCGAGACGCTGGTCTTTGAATCTCACCAGGGACGTGGCCTGTTGACGCAGAAGGAGGTATTCCCTTCAAAAGACCTCGCAGTCGAAGTTGCAATAAAGACCGAACCAGGAGCATCTGCTGTCGCTGTCGTAGAGAAAGCAACGCCTAGAACAGAGATGGCATCTCCTTCGAAGCTAGCCGTCGGCCAAACCTCCGGCGCAAGGAAAGTTGAGGAGAAAGTTAAGCCCAAATCCGAGAAAGTCCCGACCCCGAAGACTTCTGGGGAACCAAGAAATGCCCCGAGGAAAGATCAAAGTAGGGCAGCAAAGGAGAAAGGAGAGGACGTCAACAACCGAGTGTCCAATTACATCAGTCGCGCCAAGATTAGACTCAGAACCATGTCCACTGCTGGAGGAACGCAGGGTGCCGGGCATAAGGACAGCGGGACCGATCATTTCGGGAACTATATTCAACGAGCTAAGATGAAGATCAGAACAATGTCCGGCATCGGTGGTGACAATAATGCTCAACCTAAGTGAGGCCGCTAAAGTCTAACTGATAGCGCCTTTACCGGTACTAAATAATTCAGCGCGTGATGCTCGGCCATGGTTGCTCATCAGGAACTAGAAATATGTATTGGATGTAAGTACTATAAGAACAAGCTTCTGTTTACTTCTAGTGGTGTGGTTTGTTTCAGTTTCAAATTGCCAAAATAGATTGCCTTTTTGTGCCAAATCAGTTGCTTTCTCTGTAAATACATGACCATCCAATTAACCACACAATTGAAAGGGAAAACACCCGGCGCATTTGAATTCAATTCAATGGTTACAGGGAAAGGAAAACTAGATCAAGAGATTGCCCTCATTCATGCCGATTCTTAGCCGCACTGAGGAGTACATATTAAACCGCCTTCAAGTTCGCACTTGGTTTAAGAAACCGCTAAACTATAGTAGGCGGAAAAATTACCTAATCAGTCCTAAACTTATTATACCGTTACCAATTTAGTCTTAAACTTTTTAATTTTGTTAATGTAGTCCTAAACCTTTATGTAAAATTCGAATGTAGTACTTCCGGTCATATTTGTAGGAAATCGATGCCACCACGTAAGACGGCTGACATAGCGGTCTAGTCATCGTTGGCACACCACCACGTCAGCGATTTTCAGCAAAAATTGGCTTGAAGGATTGAAAAGTTTATGATTGAATTGGCATCTATACAATAAGTTTAGGACTAATTGGACAGTTTATCCTGTAGTAGGCATCGAACCGGGTTAAGAAATAACTATGCCGAATCTTATGTTGTCGAGATGTTCATGATTGCTCATGCATGACGCAATCTTAAAGCTCATAATTAAAGGGATTTTTCACATGAGTTAAGTTAATTAACGGCCAATTTGGCAGGTAGTTGATGCATAATACAACAAGTTTGATTGATGACCCCTTTAAGTTAATTGTTATCAGAACCATGAAAAGGGCAACATTGGCAGTGACTTGGGCTAACTCTTGAAAATGATCCGGAAAACAAAAGAAGACCAGCATCGTAATATGTCAGAGAACCTTGTCTGCAAATTCGGGCCAACCATCATTGCCTCAGCTGGCCCAACAAAACTTATAAAGTAAAGGTTAGATGATCCTTTGTCCAAAAAGTTCTGAAAATGAAATTCCAATGTACATTAGATACTTTAACACGCCCTCTCTCGGGTGCAAGCTTGCCTTTACATGTAAAACACATCACGTATCATGTAGCAAACAGTCGGTCGATACGAGCACGTGTTAATGTGGCTCGAAGTTTGGCCCGGTTCTGTAAGGAACCGACTCAAGATTGAAGTCCGAGGACGCTTGGATCGAGTGAAAATGTTTGGGTTGCCTGACCACGTTAGAAAGACATCCTATTGTCACCAAGGAAAAAATTGGCTTAGCTATTGTAGGTCTGAAATTTGGATTCGGATGCACAAGGAGGAGGATCGGACGTCCGGTCAAAGCTAACCAACCATGACTCGATGGACATCCGACCTGATGTTGAGAAAAGTTAGAGAGATTTTGATGGGCCGGATGTTCCGACATGGATTTTGACTTAACTTGCTCAAAACGTCCCAAGTCTTAATTTGTTTGGGAGAGCCCGTGAGGAAAACTTGCTTTTCATTGACTAATTATTATGGGGCACTTAGGTGTAATTAAGGTAAGGGAAACACTTTAAGTATTAGAGAGTTCAAGCAATAATTGTAATCTTGGCATATTGACTATCGTGGAATATCTCGTCGATCTATCCCATGGAGTTGGCACACAGCTGAATCTTGGCCACCCTTCTTACTTGAGAAGGGGAAGGTGGGGATTTCGAATCCCCACCTTTTCAGGAGGGGTTAAGGGTGGGGACGTGTAGTTTCAGATATGGGTTTTGACTCCCATGTCTTGTAAAAGGTAGGACAAAAGTTTGAGAATAAGTTGAGAGTTAGAGTAGGATAAACAAAAAAAAAATATTTTTTTTCCTTGTTTATTTCTTGCTCGATTTCAGCTTCTGACGTTTTACATAACAACGCGATAACAACAATAAGGGATCGAATGATTGTTACGTGCAGAATGGTAGAATTTACATTATTGTAGCATGCAACTCCAGTATCATATTAGTCTAAATCGAATTTCTATTGTTAGTTGAAGTAAGATCATGTATACTCTGTAACATACCAGTTTTGCTATCACCGCCATGACAAATCAATAAAAGATTGGTGGAATTAGTAGATAGGGCAAGTGGTCCAAAAGTTGAATTAGAGCTTCATATAATTGGTTAAAGGAGCATAGGTTTTTTTTTTTTTTTTTTCTGTTCTACCATAACTCCTTTTTCTCTCTTTGATTTTTACTCTACCTTACAGAGCGTGGAAGTCGGACCTCAAACGTAAAACTAAACGTCCCCACCCCACTCCATAAAGGAGCAGAGCTAATCACGCACAAGTAAATGCTAAAGATATGGGTGCACCTAGGTCCGGTAAGTTAGGGGACCAGCTGCAATTTCCTGAAATTGTCATAATTACCTTCTCTATACCATGAGAATTATGGGGCAAGTGCAGCTCGAAGATTGTAGAATTAGGTATGAGAATTATGATTTCATCCTATAGCCTGTTTCATATGAACTAGTTGATGATTTCTTGTTTGATCTTGGTTTGGCTATGGGGAGTATAGCTCATGAAACACCATACTTTGGTTATAATATCTGCACAAATCAGCTGTAAAAGTGAATGTTTGTATCACTTGAAATAATTAGTTAATAAAAATATCATCATTATCGATAACAATTTATGTCTAAATATTTTCATGGACGATGTAAATATTTTTGTTCGTTTATTTTTATAAGCAATAGAAGTGATCACTTTTACGAAAATATTTTCTGAATCTTTCCTTTTTCGCGAAACAAACGCATCATAAGTGAAGGTAGCTATACTTAGTAATTGCTTTCAATATTTGTAATTTTTCAACAAGTACTTGTAAATGACAAGACAGTCACCATCCTTTATATGTAGTAATTTATCTCAAAATCTTGTAAGATTGAACATCCTAACCTTTGTAACTTTCCATGATAATCATAACCACCATATATTTATCCTCAACTTTTCCTCTTCTTAGTAACTTATCGTAACATTCCTTCACAGTCCGTAAACTTAAAAACCCTATTAGTTAGCAATTGCATTCAAATGTCCTAATTATCCTTAATCAATAGCAACATCAACAATCTTAAACTCGGCGGTTTTCCTTAAAATGATTCTTAGTTACTATTTTTCTAAAATTATTCGGCCGTGGAAATTTTTTTTATTTATCAAACAGTCTAAATTACATAAATCTCTGGTCTCATATATTGTTGGCTTGGGCCTGGAGCATAGAATCTCCTATTGAGTCACCTACTTCTTAAAAGCTAATGGGAAAACATAAGATGTCATTCCTTACATCATATGAAAGTTGCATTCTTATAACATAATTTTGGTACAAACGTGCACTTCTAGTTCGAGGAAGATTCTGATGCCGTGAGATATTCGAAAACATGCATGCTCACATCTAACTTGGTAGTAGATGATTTGTTTACCGAAAAATGATTGTTGATGTATTGTAATTGTAATCTCTCTCTATGCGTTTTCCTTACCAATGAGTATCTTTTAACCTCTTAAGGACGAATAACAATCGCGTTGAGGTTTCCTAATTTGGTGTGGGTAGTCTGTCTTTGACCCGACTGCGTGCGAAAAGCTATCCTGGTTGGTGAATTAACCAACGTGCGAACGGCATGTCTCTCCGCCATAGCTTTGCTAGCTTGTACTTCAACAAAAGCACTTGCAAATTGATGGATAATTTAACTAAAGAATGCGTTGTTGAGTAAGTGTGCGATAGATTTGCTCCCATAAATATTTATTCTTCTATCAATGTCACCGGATGCGCTCTTCAAATATCTCAGTGGTGTGAAAGCCGCTCTTGATTAAAGTCAAATTGCGTTTCTCTCCAGTTTCTTCAAGAAGCATCTGATGCAATCTCACACTTTTAGATCAGATTCAATATTATTTCTTGCATTTTCATACGTTCTGACTTGATCTATCTATGGCACGCGTAGCCAAATTATTTAAACCTTTATAAAAAAAATAACGTCATCTTATGGAAAATCTCGTTTTCTTTTGAAAAACATGGGGAAGGGGAAAAACACCGGAAGTCAACCGACTTGCGCAAGCCTTCTTCAGATACTAATAGCCATTCATCATGCTTCCTAAATTGAAAACAGAGGCAATACGACCAGGCAGAACAATTTTGAGCTCGGAATGAAGTTATGGTATGCGATGACAATTGTTACGAAGGTCTCTTGTTTAGATCGGAACCGTTAGATTTCACGATATGTAATATGAAAGGGAGGCAAATAAGGGTCCGGAAAGATTTGAACTCGGTTGCTCTTGCTTTGGTATCATGAAAGATTTTGTGGATCACCGTCGGCTGTTTTCAAAGTATGGGCTGTTTGATGAAGGTGTCATTTAATATTTAAATGTTCCAACGTTTTGTCTAAAAAATAATTGTTAAAACTCGGGTCTAGAATGTCTATCGAGCATATTCATCAAGATACTTATAAGTAGAGACTTGCATCACCAGTTGGGTCAACTTTGAATATTCTTTTCCGTGCTGCAAAAAGAAAAGAAAAGAAAAGAAAACCCTTTAAAGGGTTTGGCCGGATCATAAAATTTGTTCGATACAAAGATAAATAGGCCGGTTTTTGCCCGTTAACTATGGCCATTATTACAGAGATTTTGCACGTAAGTTTCGCTTTGAAAGCTACATAAAGACAAAGCAATTTCTCGAACACCCGTGGTGCTTTTCCCCAAATATCAAGATGAACCAGATCCACAAGTTGATTAGGCCAATCCATGAAGATCTCAAAGATGAAAAGAAGGAAGCAGCAAGAGATTTCACAAAAAAAGAGAACTTTCTTTTCGATGTAAGTCCAACGGCGCATGACTCTCGATCCACAAAACCTAACTTTCACGCTAACTGATGTAATATGACACACTAGAAAGAGCCACCACCCATCTGGTCCAACAATCTGTCTTACATCATCCCTGCCTCACTATTTTACTTTGCACAAACGAATTCCAACTCAAACTCTGAAAATTTAAAAGAAAGTCGCAAGTTGTCACTCGACAGTTTCATTCATTACTTTCGCCCAATATAGCAAACATCGAACGTTGATGTACTAAATCGGGGACATCTAGTCTTGCCTTT